AACTATTTAAATAGGCAACCAAAAGTTGTATATGTGGCTATATGTACACTTGTTAATTAAGAATGTACTGTCTAAAATACCTAAATTGCAAAGGTTAAAAAAAAAAACAACATCAAAATTGGCTTGGTAAATCCCAAAATATTTGGGTTTAAAGATATAAATATAGGAATCTGCAAATTTAAAGAAGTTTTTATTAAGTTAAAGTCTGTTGAGCTTCTAAGTAAAGATTTTTCTGATTCTAATAGTAGTTAAATCATCAAAATTGGCTTAGTAAATCTTAAGATTTTTGAAGTTAAAAACATGAATATAGAGATCTGCAAATTGGTAATTATACAAAATACTAAAGACTATAATACTTTGTATAATTACCAATTTGCAGATCTCTATATTCATGTCTTTAACCCCAAATATCTTGAGATCTACTAAACTAATTTTGATGATCTAACTACCATTAAAACTATCTACAACTTTATTTAGAAGCCGAACTAACTCTAACTTAAATAAAACTTTTTTAAATATTAAAAAATTAATTTCTTAAATTTGATTGGTTATTTAAAAATAGATTCTTTGTATAATTTATGGTAGAAATAGCAATTTACTATAGTAGAAATAGCAATTCTCTAAATTTATATATATAAAATTTGATTAGTTAATTTTTAGAGTCATATAGAAGGAAGAGGTAGGCTATTAAGTAAAAAAATCATGTGATAAATGATACTTCCTTTACTCTTTCCAAAAGATCAATATCACATATACCAAAACAGTTAGTATTGTTTATCTTCTAAATCGATATAACTATACATGCCACCAAAATAGGTTTTCAAAAAACCTCTATTTCATCTCTATTAGAGCAATTTGGAATTTTTTATATATAATAGCAAATCTAATTTAGATAGTCATGTTCTTCTCTTCAAAAAAAGTGTCAAAAAATTTCATCTTTTAAGTAAAATAGATTAAAAACAATTTTGGTTTCAAATTTTAATTTCATACCCTGAAACCTAAAATAATTTCATCAGCATATATAGTATACATGCTGACGAAATTATTTTAGGTTTCAGGATACGAAATTAAAATTTGAAGATGAAATTGTTTTTGATATACTTTACTTAAAAGACGAAATTTTTTGATACTTTTTTTGAAGAGATGAAATTATAAGGAATATAACTACCTAAATTAGATTTGCTATTACATATAAAAAATTTCAAATTGCTCTAATAGAGATGAAATAGGAGTTTTTTGAAAACCTATTTCAGTGGCATGTATAATATATAAACATAAAAGCACGTGCTTCAAATGTAAAAAGCTAATCAAACAATGCTCTAAGACTAATCTGGATCGAGTACCAACTTCCCTACCTAATCTGATCAAAGAAGTGTTTATCTAATAGTAGTTTAAACTTAAATATACTAAATAAATAAATTTAAAATAAGAATACAATTTATTTAATATATAATATTTAATTTTTTAAGGCCTTTTACAGGCCTATAAACATAATATTAGAATAGTCATTCTTTTTGTTTTTGTTTTGATATTTCTCTTTCTTCTTATCTTCTTGCTTGTATCTTTTATCGTTATCTTTTATACCTATATATTTTTTTGTTTATCTGTTTTTTTTTTATCAGACTTTTTAATAAAATATGCAGCTGCTCTAGCTAGTGATCATTGGGATCAAATCCTCAAAAAGTTAAGGATTTAATATGAAGCATAATGCTGCTAAGCAGATTACATCTAAGTTTTACTGAGTGAGTCTTTTTATGCAATAGAATTATAGTATAAAAAATTGTTTTTCTGTTAATATTGATCTTCTAATATAGTCTTAGATTTTACTAAATATGAAAATCAATTTACAACATAGTAAAGAATATTCTAAAATCAATTTATATATTAAAACAGCTGATAGTGGAATCATAAGATAGTTAATAAAAATGTTTGAATTAATTCTGATATAAATAGTTTTATAGACATATAGTCTAGAGATCCCTTGTGATCTCAGAGGCTTTATAAGGTGGTTGTTTACTAAATTAGAAAGTAAATGATGATTGGCATAATTTTAGCTCTATAAATTAGTATAAAATAGCAATAGACAGAAATGAAAGTATCAAGAATGTTCTAATTGTATAAAAAAAAGTATGATCTATATCATTCAAATTTAATAATATCCAAGACTGTAATACTTCTAATAAAGTATGAAACAGAACTGCTAAATATAAAAAAAAACAAACAAACCAATAATAGATAATACAAATACAAAATAAACTCTAATAATGATATATACACTTGATCCTTATTATATCAATTTCATTAATATCAACCTCCTATTAATATTAACCTCTTATTAAGACAAAATAGACTCAAGGTATATAAAAACTATCCTGATATTATTAATCCTCACATATATTAATATAATTGCCCAATCTAAATGGGTTGATATTAATAGGGTCAAGTGTACTATACTATTTGAGAAAATTTAATCAAAATTAAACTAATATTACCAGTTAAAGAAAATATAACAAATCAAGGTTTGGAATATACAAACCAGCAACAGCAGCAAGCTTTAACTTGAAATATAAGTTAGTAGTATTTAAAACAATAAGTGCGAGACTTGATAACAATAAATTATTAACTTCCTTATATAAGAATTTAACTAGGTAGCAGAATCTTGACTTGAGATACAAACTATTAGATGAATCTAGCTAAAAATAGTAAAAGCTATAACAGATATATAAAATTAAAAGCTATATATATAATAACTATCTAATATAATGCTTGGCATCTTTAACTTGGCACAAAGATAAAGTAAATAAAAAATTTTTTTATTTAAAATATATTACATTACAAGAAAAATTAATGCATAATTGGCCTTAGTCTCAATTAGAACTTCTATATGATTTCTCATACTGTTTACTAAATTTTTCGCATATTCTTTAAATAACTAATTCCATTTCTTTATTATTTCAGCTTTTAAAGTACTAAGTTTTTTATTTTTTTTGTCAGATTCATTTTATAAGTTTTTAAACATTCTCAATTAGATTTTAATTGAATAACATCAATATGCAAAAAAGAACTTGAATGTTATTGTTTTCTTTATACTTTTATGATTTTCGAATGATGTTTCAAACTATTGTCTTCTTGCAAGATCTAATTAATATAACCTTTATTAAAAGGTCTTTCACAAAAGGCAGAAGGCCTGTTTTATACAGGGTAATTATATATTGTGTATTAAGATTATGTATAAAGCAGACCAACCTGTTAAAGCCTGAAAAAAAACAGCCCTATACATGAATCTTTAACAGATGCTTGACAAAACGAGTTAATTTTTTTTCTTTCAAAGAATTATCAAATTTTTTTTAATCATTGATTCAAGCAAAAGGTACTTTTATCTGTAAATATTACTGAATTTCAGTTAAAATCTTTATACTTCTTTACTTACAAGAAACATTTTTTTTAATACTTCTCTCTGAGCAAAGGCTTTGTGAGCTTTCTATGATAATAACATCACCTTCATCAAAACATTATTGAATGGTTTACACATTAATCTCAATGTTCCATTTCATCAACTTATAGTAGATTTCTGAGGCTATAAGATTTTTGTTTTCTTTTGCTAATTTAAAATTCAGTTATCTTATTTTTGTGTGATAATTCTTTTAAGATCCAACTTTGCTTTGTCACTTAGATTCTTGGTTTCTTGCCACCTTCTAATTCAATAATACATCATACTTCATTACAATAAATCTGCTTTACTGTTTTATATATTGAAAGCTTAAGATCTTTCAAATAGATGCTTAAAAAAATAATTTTATATTGTTTATACAAAGGAAAAGTATTTTTTTGACTAAGATTTTATGCACGATCAATGCAAATATTTTTACTATCAAACCTGCCTGAAGAGTATTAGTATGATTTGTATATATGATATACTATATGTGAATGAAATTTCGTGTCTATATATAAGGGACATAACAAAAATCAGATGATTTTTTAGAGAAAAAGGGTAGTAAAAAATTTAAAATTATATATAAAAATCTGATTAAAATATATAATAAAAGAGAGTAAGCTAGAACTCCAAAGAACTTCAATACAACTCAGAGCTGAGTTTGTATAATATCAACCAAATAGACATATAAAATAGACCAAAATTTAAAAATTTTACTATATAAAAATACAATGTTTAATGAATTTTCACACAAAATTTCTTTTTTAATAACATCTAAGTTATATCAGAGTTCTTCAGGGTTCTTGTAAACTTCTGATAAAAAAAAATCAAATGATAAATAATACTGCTCTAATCTATCAAAAATTACAGATACAAAAAACTTTTGTTAGGTACACCTTAAAAAAAAAACAAAAAAAACTAATATGCAGATATAGATTGTAAATAATTGTCTAAACTTCTGTAGTTCATCATATAATATAAATTAATATGTAATACCAGCAACATAGGTTGTGGTAAATAAGTGTTAATAATAAAAACCAGAAGCATGACCTCACTTTAAATATCAAAAAAAAAAAAGCTAGTATACTAGTGTTATATATTTTTAAAAAAACTTATCAATCCTTTGAAGATTAAAAAAAAAAAAAAAAAAAACTTTTTAATATACTAAATGCAAATTAATATAAACTAATAAAAAAAATTAACATACCAATTTTATAAACAGATTAAAAAAAAACTAATACTAAACAAGTAAACTCAATAATTCTTATAAAATAAACAAACAATTTAATAAAAACAGATTTAATATATTAAGTATTTAATAAATCTTTTAATAAACTGCTACAAAATAACCTTCAAATTGAAATAATGAAGTTGTTAATGCAAAAGTATTATTATAATAGGCTTGTTCTTCAGACGTTATTCAGATTTGCGTTTATTACAATATAATCTTGTCTATATTTAAAACATTACTCTGCACCTTGGTGCGAAGAGTTATCCCAAGTTTAAAACTTATTGCAAATCAATTAACAATTACACATCATTACACATAATAAATGTTTCGTATCTGCTATCCCCGCTTAAATCGTTTATTTTTATTACCTCGACGCGCTATCCCTCCACGCGCTCCACCACGTTGATTAGAACCAAAATTACGCTTATTATGCCATTCACCTCTTCCATTATTACCCCCAAGACCATATCTTGAGTTTACCATTTCATTTATATGATGTCCAACTAAATTCTCTCGTGGAATGTCTCCGGTATTTTGGAAAGAAGCCATAGGCATACTCTACACAAACACATCTTTGTTATTCTCAAAATGAATTACTTCCAACATCAAATCAAAAAACTTACCCTGAATTCGTTCGACCGACCAACTTCTGCATTAAGACTAGTTACAAACTGATAACCAGAACACTAAAATAAAAATAACATAAATTCTCTGAGTATTTATAAACAATATAGCAATAAGCGTAAAAACTTACACGAGTGTACAATCCCCTTTGCACTGCATCTTCAATCAATTCTTTCCAATGAGGATTTTTTTCAAGTGTTTGTCGATTTCCAAGAATGAACAATGAAGACTTAGCACGAGTTAGCGCAACATTCATTCTTCTTATATCCTTCAGGAATCCAACGCTACTTTCTCTTCCGGCACGAACGCATGAAAAGATGATAATGTCCTTTTCTTTCCCCTGAAAGCCATCTACAGTATTAAACTCCATTTCCTTGTATAAATCATTAGGAATCTTTAGGGCGAACAGTCGTTTTAGTTCTGCAAGTTGTCGTTTATATGGTGTTATTACTCCAATTCGATCCCTAAAATCGATTTCTGGAAAATCTCTTATAAGCGTTTCGACTAGTCTAACACCAATAACTGCTTCTTCCCTATTAAAAAAAGAATTTTGATCTTGCCCCATTATACCTAACACGTCAAAAAACCTATAAGGTCCAAAGATTGGTTTTGCATGCCATCTCTGAGTTCGAATTTGCAGTAATCCTCCTGCATTATATAATTCACAATCGTAAAATAATTTACTGGGGAATCTACAAATCTCTGGATGCATTCTATATTGCATCTTCAGCATATGGACTGAAGCAGGTGCACACCTTTGAATTCTGGTGAACAAGCTTTGCTCGTAACAGAAATCAGTGGCAACTCTACTGAGAACTGTTGGTGGTAATTGATTGCTATCACCAACAAGAACACACCAGCTTGGATTAAACTTCATAGGTATGAGAGATGTTAATTCGATAGCTTGTGCCGCTTCGTCAATGATTACCGCTTGAAAAGTGATATCTGCCAAAATATCATGACCACTCCCAGTCAATGTTGCACAAATAATGTCTGCATCATTAAGTTCTTTAACAATGCGTTTAGGTTTTTCATTTTTATCATCAGAATCGCGCAGTGTTCTTCGTATATTTTCAATTTCTTCGTTAATCTTGTTTACTTGAACATCTAATGTTTCAGCATCCCATCCACTTATTCGTGGATCCTGACGACGACGCTTTTTTTCGTTAACTTCTTGCGAAAGGTTTGTCATTCGTACTTTCAGATTGTTCGTCTCTTCATCAGTATCGTTCTCCAATTTCCCAAACCGAGCAACAGCAACTCTTTCAAGGTTACCATTAGAGTCGTATATACCTTCTCGAAGTCTTTTTTCAATTTCATCAACAGCAGCATTGGAAGGTGCACAAGCTAAAATTCGTGGTTTATAAGTAGTGGACGTTGATCTCAATTCACTTATAATGCTCACTATTGTACTTGTTTTACCAGTTCCTGGTGGCCCTTGCACTAAGGAGATATTATCTTTATTGTTTAAAACTTTCCATACAGCCTCAGCTTGTGATTCATTAATTTTGTATATATTGATATATCGCTCTAATTGTGCTCTCGGGCATTGTCGAACGATGGGAGATCTTGGTTGCATGATCAAATTGATGTATTTAAAATACGGTGTTGCCATAAGTGCAGCATATTCTCGCGCTGCAGGTGTTAAACTACAATTATAAACGAATAACTATAAAAGTATTGAAATAAGTACAGCGCAATATAACAATCCAAAATTAAATTTACCACACCTTATGACTTTCTCAACCGTCCATGAGCTCCGCGGCCTCAATTCACCTCTGATGTTATGAGGATCATTATTGAAATAGCAGTGCATATTCAATTTATTAAAAGTAATACTCTTAGCTATAGCAAGAAAAATTTTGGATCTCAGAGAGTCCGAAGAGGATCCTTCCTTATACTTTGCTGGTTTCACTATTACAAGGTCATTTTCTGACAGACCTTTGAGTTGTCCTTGATCCGCAGAATGACATGACACTTCTATAAAATCATCAATAGACACACTACTGTCTATAACAATAGCATAAGAATCACTATCATCAATTTCTTCTTTTGCTGAGATAAAACTTTGCCATATCTCAAGTACTAAAAGTGGTTCAAAAATGCTTATATATTCTTCCGCCGTTTGAAATTGGTCTGGAATATGTCTATATTCGTTCCTAAGCATATTTGGAGGCATTTCTCCCATAGAATCAATATTCCACGTTAAAACTTGTTTGTGAAGGTTTTTTAAATTTGGCCTAAGCCGTTTCATAGTGTCTTCCCTCCTTCGCATTTGTATAATCCTCTCTTGCTGTTTGTTATCTTGTAGTGCTCTGTGATGAGAAATGACTTCACGGAAGTCGAGCAACTTCGTTCGTCGAGGCTGTTCTAAAAGCTTAGGCTGTACTACGTTGAATTCTAAAGGATTAAGAGTATCTGGAGTATATACGGTTGAATCTAATGGTTTATCACCTGCAATATAATTGTGTCTATTATTTGCTATCCTAGAGGTACTAGAGGTATTTGCGTCAAATGTTCCTGAAGTACTCGTAATAGAGTTGTGTCTTTGATTTGATATCCTAGATGTGTTTGATGTGTTTGCATGATGTATCATATCCTGCCTCTCTTTATTCTTGATTTGATTTTCTTTAATGAATGCATCCATCATTTTGCTTATCGTTCCTTTTTTATTAGGAAATATTTTACTTGATGTGTTCATTGAGATTGGTTTTCTCATATTAGAAGGCTTAGGCATTGGTTTCTTCAAAGCAACATCAGAATTTATAGGGGTTTGGGAAATGCTTGCACTTGAAGATGATCCTGAAGACCCTGACGTTGTAGAGCCCAAAATAATTGAATTTGATAGTGTACCATTGCTGAACGGGGCGTTAACGTTGTTTGACGCAGACATAGTATTGATTTTTGAAGCAGACATGGTATTGATGCTTGAAGCAGACATGGTATTGATGTTTGAAGCAGACATGGTATTGGTGTTTGAAGCAGACATGGTATTGATGTTTGAAGCAGACATGGTATTGATGTTTGAACTAGTTATGGTATTGATGCTTGAAGCAGGCATGGTATTGATGTTTGACACAGACATGTTATTGATGTTTGACGCAGACATAGTATTATTGTCTGACGCAGATATGGTATTGAGAGATAATATTTCATTAATCAAAGAAAGACGTCGACTACCAAGCGAAACCTTACGAAACGTTATCTTTTCATTTAAGGCTATACTTTTGAGTTTTAGACTTAATATTGGGTCAATTTTGAGGTTGTGTATTCTCAATATCTTTAACGCCACATCCAAAGATTCTTCTGCCAATTCATTAGACCATGAGTTCTTCTGAAACGAATACACCAAATACTCTAAAATGGTTTGTACAAGATTCATTGATGACTCAACAAACGCAGGAACCCATCCTAATAGATGTTTGCATTTCTTCGGATGAGATTCTGAGGCTTTATGAAAAACTGGACTATCAAATATTTCAATCATTAAATCTTGTGCGGATACTGATGAGTAGCTCCAAAATTCATTCTTAATTATCTTCAGAAGAACTTGTAAACATTTCAAAACTTCAACAAACTCAATTTCTTGTTGCTCTTGATTTTTGATAGTGGAAACAACCAAATTGCAAAATCCGGTAGGTTCATGACACAACCCGAAGATAATTGTAGATGAATCTAGACAGCAAAGCACTTTCCTAAGGCCTTTCCAATACAATCTGAGATTTTTTGTATATGGATATTCTTGAAAATGTGGACTTCTAAGATTCCAATCTTTTAGACGGTGGATTGCACTTTGCATTGGGCCAGAATATCCATGAGCATTGAAATCTTCTAATTTGACTGAAAATTGAAATCCTTGCATTATTTTCCAGAATAATTGTCTGAAATCATCATTCTCATGAACCGATACAATAATCATTCCGGGCAAAAAGCCTTTGCACATCTCTTTTAAAATATTCTGCGGGATGGAAAGAAATAAATCGACATAGAGCGAACTTATCGAATGATCAGCAAGCAAAGACGGATTAAACATAATCTCTGATAATATTGCAATAGTTGAATTTGATGTCAGTACGTCTGGAGTTAATGTTTCTAGTTGCAGACTCAAGTTTTGTAGAGCGCTGTAAACACGACATCTGTCCCAGGCTTTTATAGTGACGTCAAAAAGTACATTTACATCATTTGTATTGTTATATGCTCTCAGATATCTGTAAAATAAAAAAATTGCGGGATTTAATGATATTATTTAATACTTACGTTTAGATAAATAAACTTTACCTTTGACGCATATCTTCTTTATAAATGTAATATACTTCAACACAATCGACACAGTTAGACAGCTGATCAGCCATTACATTTTTAAATTCTTCAACCTGTTCATTAGTATTATTCAATGCAAATATATGTAGTAATTCTGTCGTAATTTCCACGAATTCTTCGCTGCAAAACCAATGTGCCGGAACATTTTCTTTATAGCAAGCCAGAAGGTAAGTCGAGCCGTATTCTAAAAATTTTTTTGCTCCTTCGATATCACAATTTTGTTTTTGATGAAGAAATTCGAGAACATCTTCATGCGTAATTTCTATTTCCATTTGCTCAGGTTCCGTCGTTGACATTTTTCACAGCCTTTAGGCTTGCTATCTCTGATATATTCATAAGGAATTCTTTAGACCTTGTTTGAAGTCATATATAACCATAGCATTTTTTTTTTTTTTACTTACTTCTCAATCAGGACGTATATAATAGCTCCCAAATGACTAAAGTGCCAAAATAGAAACTAATGGAAGCGAAAACAAATTGCAGGCAGCTGCTGTAACTTTAAAAGGTAGCACTAATAAATCGAAATTACTGTATAAGTAAGACTAGCTTACTGAAGAATTCTGACCACACGTATTCAACACCTTTTGGAAGGAAAAGGACAATGTTTGTCAAAATTGTAATCTGATCAATATATCATCATCGCGTACAATATTTCGTGCTTGACATTAGGGTCGTTTGATTGGTGGACCACACCCTAGAATATTGGAATCGTATCGGTATTTTTTGTTAAGATTATTATCGATCGTTATATAATTAAAGATTACAGTACGTATTACAAATAGTTGTTAAATTAACATCTGCTGTAAGATTAATAAATTTATATCGATATGCGTCGAAAGGTTTAATCTATATAAAAAAACAACTTTACAAAATGCTATTCCTTTAGAAAGCTACAAAATATTAAACTAAATGGGGTTTTCTATCCGTACCCTACGATAACCCAGTATGTGTATGTATATGTACGTATAACGATAATTACACCCTAATCTGCTATCAAAGATTATATTTTTTTCTTGGGTACATACGTACGTACCTTATTGGGGGTCTATAGTGCAGATGATATAATGATGATCACAGATTTTATATTAACAGTGCAATTTTTTATTTATTTTTATTGGGGGAGTACTCAATTTCCGTGCAAAATATTGGTATTCATACCCCCCACAAATTTTAAAATTTTTTTAAAACTTTGAACGAAGATATCTCGACAACCACCTGACTAAATTCAATGAATTTTTTTTTATTTGAATTCTACTGTTCTGTAGAATTCAAATAAAAAAATTTCATCGAATTTGGTCAGGTGGTTGTCGAGATATCTTCGTTCAAAGTTTTTAAAAAAATCCAAACGTCTATTAAAACAAAGCTGCGCCAAAAATTTTCTAAAACTTTGAGCAAAGATATCTCAATAACCACCTGACTAAATTTAATGTAAATTTTTTTATTTGAATTCTAATGATCTGTAGAATTCGAATTTGGTCAGTTGGTTGTTAAGATATCTTCATTTAAAGTTTTAGAAGGTGCAGCTTTGTTTTGATAGATGTTTTAAAACTTTGAATAAAGATATTTTGACAATCATTTAACCAAATTTGATGAAACTTTTTTTTATTTGAATTCTACAATCATTAGAATTCAAATAAAAAATTTTTATCAGAATTTTTTTTTCTTTAGTAATCATGTTTATTTTATTATAGAAACAAATTTTCATCCTTATATATAAAGAAATCTAAATCTATAGTGTTTCAACCAAAAGATAAACTCATCCATGGCTTTACCTTGCAGGTGATGTAACACCTACTTGCAGTTAGGGCAAACCATTAAACTGCTGTGTTTTGCCTAGATGCGACCTGATTAGGGAATAATTGGCCTTCTTTAGAAATCTGGAACTTACTTCAGACTTATTTTTTTCAGATTCATCAACTGGCTGTTGCACTGCCTTGTCAAGATTTCTACCCTACAATAGAATGTCGCTAATTTGATGACACTTTCTCATAAAGAAGAAAAAAAAAATGTGATAGTGAAAAACAAAAAAAGGTATAAAGAATAAAACTATTATATTAAAGAAAACAGATACTAATACAGTATTAAAGAATATAAAAAAACTAAATTAAAATCTAAAAGAAACTATTGCTAGAAAGAAAAAAACCTGCTAATCAGACAAAAACTTCTAACTATATAAATTAATGAACTACTATTGAATGCGAAAGTCTTGACTGCACTATAACTTGTGTCAGAGTTTAAAAATTACATACTAGATACTAGACAAATTAGTTCCTACTTCTGCATTTATCTACCTAGTATATCAAAGTAAAAACCTAAGGGGAAAAACTTTAATGACCAGCTTAATTATAGAGAGGTTAGAGTTGAGTCTCAGAGCATTGTTTGTACAGATATCCATTGCATTTGAGGCATGTATATATATGTTTGTTGTTTTGTTTTAATTTGAGAAATAAACAATACTGACTTGTTTGGTATATATAATATCGATTATTTGGAGAAGATAAACTAAAATGCCCACTTTAACAAAAATTTCCTCGAAAAAAAGTGGTAAGCCAATGAGAGTATGTAAGGTTCTTCTTGTAAGTTTTATAATTATATAGTTCAGCTTTTCCATTTCTATCAATTTAGGAGTACACATTGACTACTTTTACGGACTTGTTTCCAGAATAACCTTTTTTTATCAAAATTTTTAAAATTTATAAAATAGAGAATACACAATATAATAATCTTACTTTAAGATTAGTGATTTGATGCTTTGCATTATTCGCAAGTACTGGTTATGACCAAAGTGCAATTACATTGTAGAATATAAATATAATTAGGTAGTACTAACAAGATAAATAGTTGCTAGCCAATAACCAAAAGAAAATAAATTCTTAGTAAGTTAAGAATCCAGAAGAAGGCCAAGGACTACTAAGGCAGGTTGTATCTGAGCAAAAGTCGAGTGTGAGTCTCTAGTTTAGTTAGATTAGTGATAGCTATAGATAAAAATAAATAATTCTTAAATAGCTTAATCTCAAATAAACAGAAGCAGGATTGCAGAATTATAAAAAAAAAATAACAAAAGCTGATTTTAAAAAGCATTAGTATTAAAACTATCACAAAAGCTTATAATAAAAATTATATATAATATGATGAAACATTTTTTTTACACAATTATGGTTTTAAATTTTTGGTTATTAAGGCCAATTCATAATAAATGCATCTCTTTTGTCTAAAGCATATATAATAAACAAAAAAAAGTTTCACTAATATAATAGTTTAAATTTTTTTCTTATTGGTAGCCTTGCTGGTATTTTTATTAAATCAAAGCATATATATATATATATTTAAACTATCTAAACTGCAGATTTAACATTATTTAGCTGCTCTATTGGGTACTCAAATGTGGTCTACCACATCAGTTAAGGTATTGTCCATATCAAAGAGTTGCACAAAGCTAGCCAGCAAAGCCATAATAAAATAGTCTTAATTTAAAAAATTTTTATTAAGATTTTACTAACAATTAACCTTTTTAACATTATTCTTCTCATTACAATTATAATTTAAATCTACTCTACTATCTAATTTAGCTTTAATTTTTATTTTATTATCATTTAAATTGTAATACAGACAAATTTGCTTGTGTTTATTTTTTTAAACTTTATTTTTTTAATAAAATTTCAAATATTAATTTTAGCAATATACTTTCTAATTAAAAAAG